GAGCGAATCCCGACAGGACTTCGGGCGCCGCGACCGCAAGCGTTGACCGAAGGCGCCGCCGCCCGTTGCCACGGGCCGGCCCCGCTCGTATCCAACCAGCAGGTGGCTCTTAAAAGCATCAAAGGTAGCGCTGACTGCTGTGCATTATTACCAAAGGCCTTGCGCATTGCCTCTCTTTTGGACAAATAATCTTTGCTAAAGAGTTTTACGCTATTATTAAAATATTTAAATGCACAACAGAACTTTTCTATGCCATCATCTTCCAATACAGCGCCAAACCCCCGGAAGCCCATTCACGAAAATGTTACCCGTCCTGTTGGTAAATTATATTTTAGTCGTGCAGAAGTACCGCTTCCACCAGATACGTCACTATACTACTATAGTATATAAGTGATGATATAATATATATATATATATATATGCATACAAGTGCTTTGTTTGATTTGGAACTTTTCAGAATGGTGAGGTGGTAGAGTAGCATAGACATTGTTATATTTCAATATTGCGTATCTGTTTTCAACAATGAGAGAGAGTATGTACTGTTTTGGCTCAAATTGTTCATATTCTTTTGATCCATTCTTGTTCTCCGAGGATTTTTCTCTTGGGCCATTGTGGTTGCATACCTGTATACATTTCATTAATTTCAAGAAGAAATTTAGCAAAACTACTAGTTTTTTCAAAAATTTGTACATGACCTTTTTTATGAGTTTTTTAGAGCACATTTTGTTTAAAGGTAAAAATATACATTTTCCATTTTGTAGTTTCCAAATATTACGTTTTTACAATTTTCGAAAATACAAAAACGAGACTTTCACCCTTCTTTTAAGCGTTTTGTTCTAATCAGTGGAAAAAATGCAAGAAAAATATTTAGAGCAGTTTTTGTGGAAATAATATTTGTTTTAGTAATCGCATAAATTTCAACTAGAAATTTAGCAAAAAACTACTTGATTATTCAAAATGTGGTACAGTACCTTTTCGAAAGATAGGAAATAAATAATCCATAAACTATTAACTACGCATATAACTGTGCAATTTTTGAGAGTCTTGATACAACTATAATATTGAAGAGATTCATTACAATCAAATCTGTTCTTTAAAGACAGGTCTCGAAATAAAATTATGTCAAATGGTTTTCGTGTTACGGATACTTTACATGAAGCCCTTAGAACATTTTTAATTTTTTTTAAAAACCGCTCCAAATTTTTCTTTAAATTTCTTGCAAGGAGAGAGTAAAACACGCTTATAAATGTGGGAGAGGTGTGATTTACAAGGTTAACTCTAAATTTTCAAAAATGTTTGGGCGTTTTAGTACAACTACAAAATTGAAAATATTCCGCAAAATTGCGTGCCATAAGAGCAATTTAAAAAATAACAAAAACAAGATATTCTCAAAAACTGTTATAACATTTTTCTGTAAACTTTTGGTAGCGATAGTGCTGAGTGTACTCTGTAATATGACATAATCATCAGTTTGCTCTATTCTTTTGTTTTTTAAAATATTACAAAAAAGTAAGACTTGTCTCTCCCGTTGTTAATAGTTAGCGGCGATTTGTTCATGTTCATACATTTATGAGTACATGTGCTTTAAATAATGTCATATACAGTTTCTTGAAAACAATAGTTTTCTGTGAAAACTAGCTCAAAATTTCGCCATTTTCTTAAAAACCGCTCAAAATTTTTTCTTCAAACTTTTCGTACGGCAAGTGCTAATTGCACTGCTTAATGTGACGTAAAGTTCACTTCTGGGTATGTTTTATTTTTTTCAAAATTACACAAATGTAATTTTTTTGAAAGAATCTCCCGCCGGTAATATGCACATTTACAGCATTTTGATAACACTTGTATGGGTGAGTTAATATGTTTCAAATTACTTCAGATGATGATTTTTGGAAACACGAAAATTTTTGTGAAAAAGAGCTTCAAATTTCGAATTTACGGTAACATTTAAACATAATTTTTTTGAAAAAAGCTGCAAATTTTTCAAAGAAAATTGCAATATAGAACGAGATTTTACTGTTCTTAAATATTCTTAAAATAATATTTTCGTTCTATAATAAAAACAAGTAAAAATGAAGAAAATGACAAAAAATGTCGGCAATTCCGAATAGCTAGCCGAGACCAAAGGAATTAGAAAACTAATGTGAGAACCATTCTGTACCATTCTGTACCACTAGTTCAACGTGTTTTTCGTTTATCAATGTCTCCATATTTGATGTATTTTTATGTGTACAGAACACGTATGATTGCAAGATATGTATCTGTAATAGTAGATCATAACTTATTTTTAATGACATTCATGACAAAAAGTTTGCTATCAAATCTACACACAATTCTCAAAGGTTCTCAATTGTGAATTTCAGGAAACCGGTTGAAAGGGAAATATTTCCAAAATTCGATCACCTTTGCAGAGTGTGTGATCCACAATGTCCTTTAAATTGAGCCCAGACCCTGAATGTTTTTGAATTTCTATTATATCCGTTTGCAAGGTTCGGGATTATTTATGAATATCAGACTGTGAGATACAAAATGATTTTAAGCATGTTAATCTATATTAATTTGTGTCTGTCTCTAATAAATCGATGTGTTTTCAGATTCTAATGAAGAAAGTAGTTGAGCGAAAAAAGAGGAATCCAATGATATACATATTGTCATATGTTTAAAAAAAGTTTTTTAACATATAAAAAGTTTTAAAAAAATCAAAATTACTCAAAAAATTGCTGGTTTGACATACGATTATATGTATATGATTGGATTAGTCTTGTTAAAAAAATGTTATATGTTAAAAAAAGATTTTTAGTAATTTTTATTTTTTTTTTGCGACTCGTTTATGACGGATATTTTGAATGTAACAGCCCTCCACCCAAGGACATGCAGCGCTCTTCCTACTAAACACGCGCCCGGGGCGTTACAGTAACCGTTAAAAACGAATTGCAAAAGATCAAAATTATTCAAAAAAGTGCTGGTTCGACATACGACAATATGTATATGATTGGATTAGTCTTTTTATGCTCGTCGTGATAGACTAAAACAAGTGGCGCTAAAACAGCACTTGCTTTCTCGACATTAATAATGGTTATGTAATACTATTTATACTACAATTTTTCTCTGAATTAACATATCTCAGTCATCATTCTTGTAAAACTCATTTGAAATCGTAAAACATTTGGTGCGAAAATAAAAGTTTCAAGCGATTTTTTCTCAAAACTTGAAATAAAATATATTTCTGGCATTGAATTTATTGTTAAAGGTATGCAGTATTTTCACGCACATATCGGATGAGTTTTTAGACGTATACAGACAATATTCTGCGTAAGCAGGGGCGAGAAAGTGAAATAATTAAAAGTTAATAAATAACACGAATCTGACAACGTTGGCAAATAGATGGGATAATATATAATAGTAATTATTAATATATATATATATATATATATATATATATATATATATATATATACACACACATAAGTATTCGTTTATATTACTGCGAACAGAAGGCAGCCGTCATTATCGCCTTCTGTTATCAGTGCCGCGTTATGTGAATAACAACAACCAACACTGATCACTCGCCCACTCGTTTTCACATTTCACACAATTAAAGTACCCGATTTAAAATGGAATAATATAAATATAAGAAATAATAATCAATCAAATATGAAATAATAAACAAATTCTAACTTACGTAGCATCCAACTGCGTCAATTAGGCTCGACTGAACTCTAACAATCTTTATTTCATATTTATTTCAAATAGGTTATATAATTTCTAAAATATTAATTTGCAGACGTATAACAAAATGTAAGAGACGATCAAAGAAATATGAAATAATATACACATTTTAACTTATGCAGCATCCAACTGCATCCCATCATTATTTTGAAACCTTCAACATGACCTTATTTGAAAATGTGGACATTTTATTAAGTAAAAAAAAGTATCTTCGCAATTTTAATTGTAGGAGGACGCCGAAAAAATTTTGAATGTTTTCAATTTTCGAAAAATCAGGATTATCAACTAACGTGAGATCTGCGCCGTTGTCTTAAACGTTCTTTAGACTATACAACAACAAAATTCAATAAAAATCGATGGTGCCATATTTTTGAAAATTTTGAAAATTGTTACAGGGACTTCGTGTAAAGTTTCTCCCAGAATTAAAATATCGATTTCAAATTCAAGAGGCCGCGACATCAGCCAGATGGATTGAAGAATATCAATTTTGGAGAAAATTGGCTGAACGGTTTTGTCGCTAACGTTGTTCACAGACAGAGGGACAGAAGAAGATATTTTGCCGTCAATCGATTTTTCAGTATCAAGGACCTATAAAACATGGGTTCAGTCTAAATTTAGCAACTGGATTATCCACTTTTTCTTTACCAGTGCCCTGTAATAAGAGTTTTTTTTATCAAACTTTCACCGTTTTTTGGGTCAGCATTACATAACCTTCTCATCTTAAGACGTTCCTTCTCAAGCGCGAGAAAGTAAAAATATGTATACTTCCATTGGAAAACAAAACAAAACAAAAAACAAAGTTACATCTATATATCGTAAAATACAAGTGATAAATTGGAAAGTAATACATACATCAATTAGCCCCATTCCATCATGCCCCTTCCGTGAAAACTGCATTGCAATAACTTCACTTCAACTGTTCAAAAATTGCAGGAAGTGCTTAAGTTACGTGACACTCTGTGGTACAACACCACTGGAACGGTACTGAAAACATTTTTTCAAAATTTGTATGAGATAGCTCAAAATCTGCTAACCTACCAGAGTTTCGTGTGACACACGTAAATCCATGACTTCATATTTCTTTTATTTTCTTTTTTCCATAGAGGCCTTCAAACCGAATTTTCTTCCGAAATTCCAACCTCGAATTTTGTACCGATTCCAATCCTTTCTCCATATTCCACATATAGCCGAGGCACAGTAAAAACGTTAGTTTCTCGTTGTTCCTGAGTGCCAGATGGCCAGTGTGAAAGCCAATGTGTGAGTGGTGGTGGCCGATGGCTGTGCTTATCGGGAGGGGCCTGGCGCCGACGCGCCGCGCCGCGCCGCGCCGGGCCGTGACCGGGCAGCGCTGCCAGGGGCGTGAAGCTACAGATGGACCACGCATGGCTCTCTGCGCGCCCGCTCTGCTCTTGGCGCTGCTCGGTACGTAGCCGCAGGCGGCGTCGCCTTCCCGACATATTTGGTGGATTGTTTCCGTGGATGAACTGCTACGTTCATTCGTTCCGTTATTGTAGTGAATGTTAGTGGTTCCTGAGAGGTGGTGGTGATCCCCCCCCCCTGGTAAGTGAGATCATACGTCGAGCTGTATGCCATATTGGGGAGTTTCGGTCCAGGTATCTCCCTCAGCGGGGCACTGGCCCAACTGAAGAAGTTCCAAGGGGCGGTTTCACCAACAGCAGAGGAAAGTTACCCGAGAGTAAGCATCACTCTACCATAGTTACTCTCGGGTAGAAAATAAGCGTCTCACCACGCTTGTGGATGGTTATTTTACTCTAGAGAACATATTCTCCATTTACTCCGCGAATCAACCAAACAATTTCTGAGAGCGATTCAAGAGACCGTGAGCGAGAGTGCTGTGAACCAATGCGGATAACGCGAACCTCTGGTTGATTTCAGTTGCGGAATTCTTGGTGTGATAATTTTATGTGCTTTTATGGTGATTTGAGTTAGCATTATTTATTTCTTAGTTTTTATCTTTATTTCTTAATCAATATTAATTCTTCTTCTCTGGAGATGAGTTAATATTTTCTTAGCAATGCAGAAAAACAAAAACAGAAAAACAACAACAGGAGGTGAGTTAATATTTTTTTAGCAACTGCATTGTTTTCCAATCTGCAGTTCGTTTACCGATGCAAATAAATTTTCTATGACTCGGGAATAAAAATGTCTAGTTATTCAAATGTTGCTAATCTCGCTCTTTCAACATTCTTTTAGTATTATTTTTATTATTACTACTATTATTATTACCAATATTATTATTTATTTGGTTTAATTTTTAAACTTTTATCCACCTTCAACTATTTATAGTTAAAATGTTGGGAAGGAATTCTGGAAGTAAAGAAAGTATGCGCGGATGATCTCCCCCACACGTGACATACAGTTTACTGTTTTACACTAAATAAATAAATATTTCTTAGTAGTTTTAGTCCATGCAGGTATTATTTTTCCTTTTGTTATCATACACTTACTGCCTTTATTTCGTATTCACATGAGTGACAAATAAATTTACAAGCCCTCTACAGTTTATAATGTATCTGATGAAGTTATCAGCTGATTTGTGAAACATAATCTCGATCGTCATAATTGGAAAACCAATCCATTCTCGCCCGCACCCACATTATGGACGGTCCCTAAATTTGCATTTAACAGGATGAAGATATAAATCGTTTAATAAACACCACAGACAGCAGATAGTTCACGCAGTTCACTAATAATCTCAGTGAATTCAATACTTTTAAACCAGGCGCGGCTCGTTGTTAAAGGCTGTAAGGCGGAGCCTCTCTTACAAAGATCACCGTCCATAAGAAATTTATAACAGTTTATAATTAACATTTATAATTAATATAATCATTATAATTAATATAATTTTATAATTAGTTTATAATGTTAAGCTTTATTGCATGAGTACATGTTTTGAAACCGAGCGACTTTAGGAGCGAGTTTTCAAATTTGTGCGAATGTAATAAAGCAACATTATAAACGAGTTGCATTCTATATTTTTTTGTATAACGTAAGTATACATTTATAAGATAATCAAACTTAATTTTGCGAAACAACGTCCCTGTGACGACTCGGGTATTTGACATTGTGCGAGAAAACGGTGGTCAGCTGTTCCGTTCACCGCTACCTCCCCACGATTCTCTCGCTGCAATTGGCTGAATGTGTGACGACGCAATCATTTGTGCCGTAAACTCTAGTATGTCATCATTTGTGCCATAAGATGCCCTTTTATGAACGATTTCTGGCAACATAAAAGCTCGTTTATAATGCTGGTGTACAAAAAATGTTGATTACTGAGTGCGATGTTGATAGATTTTGATGATAAAGTAACTTTGTTTTCATAGCTGCAACAGAAGCGAATAATATGAAAATAATTGAAGTACATAGGTTCAATGCTGATTTGTAAAGCACATTAAATGCGGCCTAACCATTTAAGGCCAGTTTCAGTAAAATAATAGATTTATCCTTCGACCATGGATTCTGTACACATAGTTGAAGATTTTATCCACTTATTATTGTTACATAACCTATCATGTTTACAAAAAGCCCGGCCAAGTCATTCGGCCTCTTGAGTCAGCGGTTGTGGCAGGTTCTTCAAAATTTTTATACGGAACGCAAATTACGCTGTTTAATGTGACATAAAATTCATTTTGTTGTATTCTTTTATTCTGTGTATGATATAATTTTGAGTTGCTACGAATTTTTTTGAAATATCTCTCACGCCGCTAATAAGCACATTTCCGGCGATTTGTGTACATTGTTGTATTTGTGAGTGGCAGTGCTTCAAACAACTTTCAATAAAGCATTTCGTAATCGAATATAGTTTTCTGTGGAGAAGAGCCTCTTTCTCATTTACAGTAATACTTCGACGCCATTTTCGTAAAATGACATCAAATTTTTCAACGAATATTTCCACATAGAACGATAATAAAATAATCTCTTCAATAAAATTTGAAGTAATTTTTCGGTTCTGCCATTAGGAAATAAAAAAATTGAGTAAGGGTGAAAAAATGTTTGGGCGGCGAAGAATGGGAGCTGGTAAGAGAATGAGGCACGGCCGTAAAGCTAGCTCCGACCAACGAAATTAGAAAACTAACTAGTATGATAAAGTCTGTGCCATTCTATAGTATCAATAGTTTCTTTTTGTTTTGGGTCTAGAACCTTTCGTGGCGTCGAAAACAAAAATAGTACGAACAAATGTTGGAGTGTTGGAGTGTGGAGTGGAGGCTCATTTTACAACCATAGCCATGTTATAATTCTGCAAACTAATACCAGCCTTGACACGTTCGAAATTAAAGATTGTAGGCATAAAAAATGTTTAAACATATTGTATTTCATTCATTAAGAATTAGAATCGGTTTAAGTGAACTCAAACTGTAATTAAAAGTCAAAGATTTATCTTCCAAAGCTTTTAGAACCAAGAAAACACCGAAACCAAGGTACACCGCTGTTTCACATCAACTCTCATTTACAACTGAACCACAGAGCTACGATGAAAAAGGAGTTATTAAACTAGTTGTTAAAATCGTTCCTGCTAGAATGTTTGCGATGCATGACAAGATACCAAGGGGGCTCTGTCACCACCTTTATCTCTATCTCTATCTATAATATAAACGGGAAATACTTATTCTTTTTGAGAGTTAAAATTCAGTTTTATGCTTCATGATTTTAGGCACGAAACTGTTTAATTTCTAAGTAAATAACGTTTAAAAGCAAAATATAAATGAAAGAGGAGATTTTAATATGGGATATTCACAATAACGCTGAACATGATCCCGCGCGTTTTATAATACTGATCTAAAGTTCACCAATTGATTAATATACGTTATTAGGTCAGCTTAATTAAATTATTGTTCGCTTAATTATTATTATATTTCTCAAAATACAGAAAAAAGGAAATGTTTCATTTATAAATTCGTCGATCCGTGAAATTAAGTGTCTAAATTTTTTTTTTAAATTTGTGCCAAGGTTTGTGGGATGGGGCAGTTGCCTCCCCTTGCCCCCCCCCCTAAATCCATCCTTTGAGTGCTACATTGGTATATCTTCAATCTCTTCAATCTCAAAGTTTTATCATTTTGTCCTAAATGTTGAATATGGTGTTTCGTCACACGACGCACATCTGTACGATAGTCTAATTCCGCTCAAACATGATGTAGCATTTTTTGGGAAACGGTCTTCACAGCAACAACAATGCGATTACTAAGTTCCTTTATTGTTGTTGGCAATGGTGGCAAGTAAACCAGGTCTTTGACGTGCCCCAAAGGAAGAAATCAGGAACTGTAAAGTCGAGAGATCTAGGCAACCATGCAAACAGTACCAAGTCGTCATCATCACAACGGCCCATTAATGGATGTAGACGTTCATTATTAAGGAAACACATATGTAGGCCAGTGTGGAGGAGCACCATCTTATTGGACATGGACATTTTTTAAATGCCTTTAAGATGTGGCAATAACCTTAAATTTCATACTCCAAATCGCAATTCGCTTTCTGCTGCACACTTACCATTTTGGAAACGGGCGTAGTGTTGTTTGGTGAATCACAAAGAAGCAATGTTATGTGTAATAGTTTCTGATGAATATTTTTTTTTAAATTCGAGGTGTATGGATAGTGTAGGGATAAGAGTATGAGATAATAGTATATGTGTGTGCAAGTAAGGGGTGAAAATAGGACAAGGAAGAGATAGGAATGATTGCGCGCGGTCCAGACCCATTTGTTAGGGTACTGCCCGGCATTCGCCTAGCGTTAATTGAAAATATCACTGAAAACTTACGATCAGATCAGCCGGCCGCTAGAATTCTCCTCCAGACAGCGGTGGAATTTCACCTGGGTATCTAGCTAGTATCGATACTCGATCCCTATAACCCCAGGTCAAAAGAACTGCAGTGATAGCAAGATACACTGAACCACATAAGGCGGTGTGTTATTATTGCGGTGCTTACTCGAGTGCAAATATCAAAAACAAAAATGAAACTCCGATTTTGGGAGGCAGCTACGCTAGTATGCGTAACACGCTGGTCCCTGTATCTTCACATTCCAGTATGAACTTGAAAGAGAACTGTGTACGTTGTGCGGAAAATACTACGACGCTTGTTGAGTTAATTAACACGATTTTAAAAGCTCAATATTATAGTAAGAGTAGGACCGAATCCAGAAAGTATTTCAGAGGGAAGGAATGTTCCAATTTCAGGGCGAAACTCGCCACACAAAAGTTTGAACTAACAAATAAGAATCGGTACTGGGTTGCTTGAAATAAAGAATAATCGTATTATACCAATTTTTCACTATGAGAATAGATGTGATGCGATTAACATGTGGTAGCTGTTTTGAATAAATTGAGTAAAACTACAAAAATTGCTTCTGCGAGGGGAGGCCCTCCCCTCCCTCCCACTGCCTCGCCTTGAGAACGAGTTCCTGCAAGAATAAGATACTTGCATTGCGAGTATGCACACTTTCATCTTACCATGTTCAACATTTACTTTTGTTAATAAAAATATTTCTCTCTCTTTAATGTTCCGGAAATGTGAATGAATATTGATGAACATTTAACAATTTTCCGAGTTTGTAATATAACTAAATACATTGTCTATACATTTAAGTCTTGAGACTTTTTTTAAAAAATTCCAATAAAATCTTAATAAATTCTTAATTTTAGCTAATTTTTGAAGCCAAAATGGAAAACTGAACCATTCAAACCCTATTTTGTGTAAGATGAATTGCGGGCATATGGGCTGCGCCATGTATCTCATTACACCAGTGGGACGTCACTGATAAGAGTACGCGAGTATTCAATACAAAAATCAGAACTCTCTTTTTCTCTCTCCCCTTCTATCACTATCTCTCCCTCACTCACTCTCTCCCCTTACTCCCTCATTCTCCCACCATTTTTTGCGTGACACAATGGGTATAACGAGAATCACGCAATTCCTAGGATAGCCATGCCCTTGCCTTAAGAAAACAAAATTGAAATATTTTACGAGTGTGTCATTATTTAATATTCACCTAAGAAATAGTACGTAATTATAAAATGTAATTTTGCACATGTTAATTTTGCTCATTTGGTAGTAAGTTTAGTAGTTTAGAAAATTGAGGATGTTATATCAGTAAAAAGAGATACTAGCGATGCTGGTTATGAGCGATGCGCGATGCTCACTTGTATTCTGACTCCCCGTCCACTTAGCGCTATCAACGTTACAGAAAGGCAAGAGAGATCATAGGAATCAATATGCATGAAATATAGAATATAGATAAGGTAGATTTAAGCAAATTTATTGCAGAAATGGCACACAATTCATGAATTATTTTCTCTTACCGTGTCCACCATTGCCCTGAACGGATCTCGGCGCAGCCTCTGGCAATCTCGGTACCATAAATACTGCCAAGTGCATAGCCATGTCCTCGTAGTAAACACCCCTGGGGCCAGTCTTCTACGAAGGGGATGTCAGCTGGATCCAATGTTGTTTGTGTGAACCCCAGTAACAGGATCCACAATGTGAAGAGTGTGGTTCACTTCCCCATGGATAAAGTTGTTCTTTCCAGCTGGCTGTACCCCTCCAGAAGTCAGTGTAAATTGTATTGCCGGGTTCCACGTGCTGCAAAGTCAATTGCAACGTGGCAGAATCCCTTCTGTAATCGGGGCACACATTCAGGCGATCTCTAGTTTCCCGGTGAATCATACCCAGAACCTACTGTCCTTCTCCAACACGACCACGATGGTATATCCGGCGGCCGATCTTGCATTCTTCAATTTCACGGTATGGTTTTCGCCGCTTATGGTTGGTATCTTAGGTTTTCAGCGCGTGGTGGGGGTAATTCAAGAACAAGTGAATGCCGCACTCCGCACAAAACCAACAGATCTCTCGAATATCCAAAAATGTTCAAGGTACTGTTGGCACGTACTACACAGTACATTTACTTTGTGATAGTCTTTCGACTACAAAGAACATAATAATTAAACCCTTGAAATATTTTTCGTGTGATTTTGCGCATTTATTGGTAATTGTTGACGGCTGTGTTCGAAAGCCAACAGCTACTGCATTTCTCAACCCTCTGGAAACAATGTACAAGTATTTTTCGCATTCTGCTCATCGATATCTCTTCTTGTTTTTTTTCATTCTAGAGCAATGAATTGTCAATTTTCTAGTTTCTTTGAATTGTAATTCACACTAAAAACAGTAATTTAAAGACATATTCTTTAATGAGTACATGCCACAGAATTTTATTTCCTATATATCCCGCATTTCGAACTCAAAGGGCTTGCCGTCCTTGAAAAATTCTGTATTTACGCTCATGCGTGTCCCCCTTTCGGATGAATGAAGGCAAATATTTAACAATATTTTAAGCTTATATTTGAACGAAATACATTTACTTCATGTTTAGATTTTGATGTCTTTGAAAATATTGCAAGAAACTCTTCTTCTAAATTTTCGAGAGAAGCTGTCAAGACCCATCTCGGGTGGCTCGTTGGTTAACGCTCGCTTTCTACGGCGCAGCACCGGGTTGGATTGCCGGCCGAGCAAATTATAATCTGCGCGCTTTCCTTACAAATGCAGCTATTGCTTTGTTACCCTGCCCAACCTAAAGTTAAGAAGGCCAGTATATACGGTGAAGGTATGACCTCGTGCTAACCATACGAAACCCCTTATCCCTTTTTCGAGAGGCTGGGTCACCGCTGACCGGCCAAGGCCCGTAGCGGGCTGTCGAGCCTTAAGACAGGACAGCTGTCAAGAAAAAATGGAAATACAGAACCAATGGACCGGCAGAGTTAGCTCAGGGCAACAACTGTAGCCATTGCCAGGAGTACGTTCGGGAGGCCATAGCGTTCGTGTCCCGACAGTGGTGCAAGTTCCGCCCGTAGATAAACAGCTAGGTCAAATTCAGCCACTGTTCGGGAGAGAATTCTAAGGGCCGGCTGATCTGATAGCGATGTTTTCGTGGTTTCTTCCATAAATACCACGCGGTTGATTGCGCCTATTGTGCCTATCTCCCCCTGACACACACACACACACACACAGAGACACACATGTTCTTCAGTACCACACATGTCGACCTGCCCTGCCTTACGCCAAACTGCACAAACCCACTCTACTCCTTGCCACCGTCCTCGCCCTATGCTGCCTTGCCTGATTTCGATCCTTGCCCGCATTCCCGCCAGGTTGTGCATGATGTCAACATTTCAAAAATATTATTCCATATTTTCATATTTTTAATGTTTCTACCCAATTTAAAAATGTAAACTACATGTGTAGTCATTGGAGACGTACAACCTTCAAACAACACTTAATTGCTGTGGTTGAGTGAGTAGCTCAAGGGTAAAGGGATGTTTATGTAACGTGCTTTAGATCGATTTAATGGTTATTTGGTACTTCCGGGCGCGTCAACTGCTAAGGTCATTAGACCCGCAAATGTAATGCACGTACGTTTCCTCGGAAGGTGGCAGCAATCATCCCCCGTTGGATGGTGTGACCAGGCGCCGAACTGCATGTCGAGGTTTTCCGTATCCAGGTATCTCTCACCGCTGAAGAACCGCTGCAGACGGGACAAGCTCTAAGCTGCTGTCTGATCTGCCAACATATGTGGTAGTGTGGTAAATGTAAGTGAAAGTGTTAGGGAAATAATAGGACGAGGAGGAGAAAGGAAAGATCGCGCGGCCCGTGGCCCGGTCGTTAGAGTACTGCCCAGGCATTCGATTGGTGTTCATGGGAGAAACCTCGGAAAATACCGATCAAAACAGCCAGCCGCTAGACAAGTGTTATTATAAGTGTTATGTTTCCTGTATAGGTTTAAAGGGTTTTTGTTTTGTTTTGTAGTATGTGTACGTTTCTATGCCTTTTTGAATAATGTGTTATGTTTTAAAGAATATCGTGGTCGTGATCAATTTCCAAAATCTCGAGTACGATTCACCTTACCCTGAGATCCAAATAGAGAAAATATTTATATGTGAAGTTACAAAGTAATTACCTGAGTGGACACATTGCGGTTAGTCCACCTAAGTTGATTTCTATTTATAATAACCCGCACTGAAGTCCAGAGAATGTTGGTGATTGAGGCACCACTCTATCGGTCAGCCTATGGGTCGTTTGGTGTTAAAAACCGAAGAGAAAGTGGTGGTTCCTTCAGGTAGCACTACGTTCAGTTCGATTAACCGAGTAATTGATACACACACCCATTATATATATATATATATATATTAATATATATATATATATATATATATCATTGGAGGGAGAGAGACAAAGTCTTTAGCTTAACTCGCAACACACGTTTTAGAGTTCTCGTTTGTGCGTCGCACGTCGAGACAACAGAAGAGCGACCGTCAGGTCATACGCTGCATCAACTTTCCTGTTTCTGTGTTTTCCCCATTCAAGACTTTAGGCGGGCAGGTATGTGGCTCACATGCCGGAGCTTTTCGCGCTGCACAGAGTGGGTGGGGTGGGGAGGGGTTAGCAGAGACATAAGTAAAAAAAAAAGACTGTTTAAATTATTATGTTCAGTATGCTAAAGAAACAAAACTAATACTGAAAATGTGGAGGGAATTTATAACTGTTTATCAATTTATTAACATGAATGTAACAATTATTATTTATTGAAAGTCGGCTCAGAAAGTAATCAAGAAGATATCTTGTGAAAAATTACAGCGAAGCTCTCCATTATTTAGAACAATAATGATGTATTATTATTATTATCATTATTATTATTATTATTATTATTATTATTATTATTATTATTATTATTATCATTATTATTATTATTGAATCTGATTATTAAGCAAATACGAAACCCTTAATAAAATTATTAAAAATACTAATACAACATAAATCAGTAGACAATTAATATTATTGAAAATCATTAAAAAAATGTATACTTTCTTTAAAATGACAAACTGACCGTCGAGTAAATGCTCAAAGTGACCACCATTTTCCAAGACACAGGCGTTTACTCTTCTGAAGACTATTATTCTTCTTCAGAAGAGTAAATGCCTGTGTTAGACACACTTGCCTGACAGATTAGTGCTTTCTCTTTCTTCCATCTAAAGTAGGCACATTCACTCCGAAATTTGAGGGCACACGGCCGTGGAAATCCCTCGAGCGAGGCGGTGATGTTGCAGGGGCGCTGGCGCCGCCGTCGGCGGCTGTGCTTCGCGTCAAGCGTCTGCGCTTCGACACCAACTGGGCTAACGGCGTGAACTGGAGCGCGGGGCGACCGCCGGCGCCGGGGGAGGTGGCGGTGGTGGACGGGCCCGGGGACGCGCTCCTGGACCTGCCGGCGCGCGTGCGGGTGCGGTCGCTGGTGCTGGCGCGGGCGGGCGCGCTTCTGCTGCGGCGCGACGGATCGCTCGCGCTGGTCGACCCCGGGCCTGGCCGCGGCGCGCCGGGTGAGAGCTGTTCCTCGCCCTTTAGTTGAGGGCCGGGGAAATAAGCATTTGGCTAGGGGAAAAAATCTTTTTTAAGGCTTTTAGTAAATCTGAAGACTTCGTTGGGTGGAGAACCCACATTATTTTGTGATTAGTGGCCCCACTGTACTTAATTATAGCATTGGAATTGACAAATTGTTGGAGAACCTCGGTTACGCATAAAACTAGAGGGCTACAACAGAACATACTTTCTCGCAGTATTTCTAAATGTGCAATTTTCGAAAATTCAGAAAGTTTACTGAAAATGAGACCCGCCCCATTCTTTTAAGCGTCCCTTCTGTCCGTGGAAAAAGTAATGGAAACATTTGGAGCGGTTTTAGAAAAAACTATTTTTTTTTAGAAATTGCATAAATTTCAAACACAAGTAACGTGAAACTACTCATTTAAAAAATGTGCATGGCCTGCTTTAAAGAGCTGATTTTTTACAACAGACTTTGTATGAGGCAAAAATCTCTACCTAATTTTGTAGTTTTGGAATGTTAACTTTTTTCAATTTTCGAGTTCGCCTAAAGTTTCTACGTTCGCGAAACATCGCACCATACGTTTTACCTTTCCTTGATACATATGAAGTTAAAATTTAAAGAAAAACATTAGAGACGTTTTTGAGAAAAAATTGTTTGAAAAATTAAAATTGCCTATATTTCACGCAAAATTACGCGAATAATACTTTTATTTTCGAAATATTGAACATGAAACAACAGTGACAGATGTTTGTGGTTCAATTGATGTTAATTCTCGTATATCGGTTTATGATGGCAAATGTGTATTTTTTAAAACATCGATTTCATAGTGTAGAGAAATTTGTGTAATGCTGCAGAAAAAACGGCGATTTTACAACAGAAAAATTAGGCTTGCTAATAACGAAAAAGTGGATAAATGTTAGTCCTATATGCAGAAAAACCTTCTTCTTATAGGGGCGTCAAAACGTGCCCGCACGATCTACTTGCTTGCCAGGGAAGCCTATATTTACGTACACAAGTAACATCCCCTGACTCCCCTCTCACTTCTCGTCCAGGAAGGGGTTTGCAAACGTACAAGCTGTGGCGGGAAAGGTAAGCCCAAACCCAGCTCGAAATATCACGACGAATGGTTGCTTCAAAAGAAAACGTATTTAATGGAAGTTTTCTAGTGTAACGTATTAGCCAGCGTGCCTCGTGGCATCTATTTGGGGACGCTGGCAGAGGATCAGTGTGCACAAAAACTTGGCCCGCCACGACGGTTGCATATGGAGCCAGGCTCGCGAGGCTGGAGTCACTAGTTGAAGCCTGAGGACTTATGTCCTTGGGGTGACTGCGGTCACGGGGGAACGATGCTGTTGCGGTGCTCCGAGGTGGAAGAGTGTTGAGTGCCACGATTCACGCCGATTCTGAATCGGAATAAGATCGCTCCTGCCGATCGAGGCAAACCAGCCGTTGGTGCGCCAGGAGCGACTTTGTGTCCCAGCCGTGACATCCGGTCCGGAAGCTAGCTTTGTGCGCGCTTCAAAAGTAGAGTGGCGAATGCCACAACAAAACCATCTTCATGGGTTTGGCATCGCCTCCGCGATCAGGGATAGTAGGTCTATAGAGCTAGGGTGGTAGTAGATATTAAGTTATAATTTGTTTTGTTTTCTTTGTTAATAATATATTGTTATAACGAAAGCTTCTGTTGTCTGTGGTCGCTGTGATAATCCTGATACGTCACAGACGGATAACTAATTAGGTGGGCAGCGGTAAACGTCTATCCCACGGGGGAGGAGGATAGAGCACACAACTATAGACAATAATTGGTGGCAGCGGTAAACTATCCACGGGGAGGGGATTAGATCACACCAATATAAACATAATTGGTGGCAGCGGTAATCGAATCTCAACGGGGGAGGAGCTAATTCACACCAACTATCGAACATAAATTGTGGCAACGGGTAATCAACTACTACGCAAGAAGAGCATAGTGGCAATTAACTAATAGGCATAATTAGTGGTAACCGTGGGTGGGCCAGTGCGTGGGCGGGATGTCGACGAATTAGACATAAGTTACGGCTACAACCGCCAAAGAATCAGCGAGCCAAGACGCCCAAGCCATCACTACAACACCGCAGAACGACAGACAGGAAGGACGGAGAAGGAAGGAAGGACGTCTCGAGGCCACCCGCTTTGACAGAATCACAAATTCAGCAAGGATCCGGCGTAGTATAGTTATCTTGCATTGGTTTAGTCAGTTCAGGTTTTAATTAGCGCTTATTTAACCGGAGATTAGGAGAGAGTGGTGTAGTGCACGTGGCACAGGAATTAGGACCTCGATAGTCACAGTGGGGGAACGTTAGCTGTGTTAAGGAAAATTGATAGGGAGCATACCCGATTCGACGGAGAATTTGTGGAAAGCGATAGGCTCAGCCCATAAGGATCAAAAAGAACGAGAGAAGGCGAACGCGATTAGAAAAAGAAGAGAGAGAAGGCGCGAACAGTGAATTAGAAAAAAGAACGAAGGCGTTCAAATAGAAAACTCAGGATAGAACAGGTGAACAGGCGCTATGAGCTAGTCGCCAGCTCTGAATCGATGGGTAAAGTTCAGATTCCATTAAATCTATTATGAGTCGTTTTAAATGGCGGAAAACGACGACATAACGGCATTTTCATGAGTGTGTTCGAAAGGTCAGGGCCGCAACAATTAGGAAAATCCTGGAAGAAGAGTGGTGTGGCAAATCTTATGGCATTGCTCCACATCAGATAAATGCGTGTCGCTACCTTGAAGGGCAAGGTAGGAGGATAAATATGCCGATAAAGTATAGGGCTATTGGAATGTTACAGATTCAAATGCGAGAAGGTTCGACAATTGGTTCACGAAACATGTAAAAGCCGGCAATAATATTACCTCGAATTTTATACCGAGGGAGTTGCACAAATTATTGTAAAGAGTGGGTAGCTGGATAGACATCCAGACCGTTTTGAAAGAGTTAATTAATTTAATTGTACGGATCACTGAAACAGCCGAGTTGCCTATCGAAACCAAAGAGCATTTTATTGATGAGTGGTGGGGAATTTAAGGTACCTCTGATTAGCTTCGTAAGCTAGATAATTATGAAATACATACGGCAGTTGGAAACGGCCACATTTACCAGTACAGGAAACCGGAAGCCGCAGCGAACATGTAGCGAGCGCGAGCAACCATGTCAAAAGCATTTGAAATATCAGGGAAATCATGCGCGAAGGGAAAACCGATGTCAGGGCCGCTTATGAGAAGGCCAGGACAAGCGGAAATGTTTACAGTTGTGGTGGTCGATCACGATGATACGTGAGTGTCCGCAGCGCCGCGAGGCAGAAAGATAAATCATGTGGTGGACAAACGGCTAGCAGAATTGCTTTCACGACGTGAGTGAGGGAAGAATTAACGGTATAGCGGGAAGATTTTGAGGGACTCAGGCGCGTCGTTTGATATCGTAAACGAGAAATCTCATCAGCTACGAGAATTTGACGGGAGAAGGTGTGGATTATGCAACCACTGGGATGCCTCAGCACGCAACTCTCCCGGTAGCAGAAGTCCGGATAGAAGGAACCGTTCGTAAAGGTCGTCACGAGAGCTGCTGTCGTACCTCGCGAAATGTGACAGAGGATGATTACTTATTAAGTAATCGAACAGCCGCGTTATTGAAGAAAAGTAAATGCAGCGATTTATTGATTCCACACGTAGTTGCAGCGGTAACTATCTCGGTCCAAAAGGCGCTGAAACGGCGCCAGTTAGCGGTGCAGGGGGAGGTGGCAGGCTCGACGGGCCAGGAAACGTCAGTAGCGAGCCAGGTAGAAATACAGATCAGGGAAGTCCGGAGGAAGCTTATTAGTGAAGGGATGAAAGTGCGAGGTGTACTGAATTCCCAAGTGAATTGAACTCATAAATGTTAGCCAGAATGAGTTCCCGCCCGTCACAACAAAGTGACAGGGAGATTAAGTATTATGAACACGTATGACACTGTGACCAGAAACAGGGGGAGATGCGGTATTCGGTTTAAAAACAGTATTTTTGTATCGGTCCAGACACAGCAAGGCGGGTTTGAAAAATTTTAATTATGTTAGTGGTTCCCCACCTAAATATCGGGCAGCCACTCTGAAAGTGTGCCATTGGAAAACGCGCGAATTGCTCACTTAGGGTGCACTAAAAGCAAAAGCGCAGTATGTCGCGCGAAATTTTTATGGCCTCGTTGTTCCAGGATAATGGAGACTTATGTGAAATCTGCGATGTGTGCCAAAAGGTAGACGGACCAAAGATCGCAAAAAGGCCCCGTTAGTTTAGTACCGCCGATAACGGAGTATGGTGGCAAAATCAATATCGATACGTGGGGCCTCTTCCGAAATTCGTAGGGTAACAAATTCCACTTCTTATTCAAATTCTCTATTAGGCGACAACAGGGCCAGGAACACCTTTAGACATTTGGAGCAGGTGTTTCTAATATTAGAGAAAGCGAAGCAAATGTAAATATGCACGGAGAATGTGCAAAACCTGGCGGTACATGGTTGGAATTGGATTTGCGGCCAGTAAAGGCCAAGGTGAAACCAATTAAGCGACATCCTATACCAAAACAAAAAAACAAGTACGGTGCTTTTTATCGTCGCTGACGGGGTATTACAGGAAATTTATTCCCGATTATGCGGGTAGTCTCAGCACCATTAACGATGACTTATGTGCGAGGTCGGCGAACGGCAAGGGCAAGGTTAAAGTCGCCAGAATGCGAGGTGGCATTTAAAAATGAGAAACGCTCTATGTCAACGAACCCGTCCTTCACGCGCCCAATTTTAAAAGGACCTTTATCTGTGCAGTCTGATGCGTCAAATAGAGGGATCGGCATCATTCTGGCATAGTTAACGACAGGGAGAAGAAAACCGGTGTTTAAACTTAAGTCGAAAAATTTCACGGGATACTGAGTTATTGCGATGACCGATAGATTAGAGTGTTACGGCAATTATCTGGGCATGTGCAAAAGTTAAAATTTACTTAGACGGAAACGCCAAATCCAAGGTAGAAATTGACCACAATCCATTGGTATGGTGAACAATTGCTCAAGTAAAAATCCTAGGGTTAATGCGATGGTCACTTTTAAATTCAGGACTACAATCTGAAATTATTCACAAAAAGGGAAGGACCACGTTAACGCAGATGCCTTAAGAATGATGTTTTAATTGATACACTGGAACCGAACTGAGGAATTGCGGAGGCTACACCTGAGTTGGATCACTTGAATTGTATTGTATCGAATCTTAAAGGAAAAGTATTGCTATTATGAACAATTGTTTTTGGAAAGTGGATTGTTTGTGAATGTTGGGTAATTTGTGTGTTATGGTACAATTTTTGGGGGTTAGTGAAGTGTCTGATAGCATAGAAATGTTCAGGCGTGTATTGTAAATAGTTTGTTGTGAATCATGGACGAAGTGTAATAATTAATTGATTGTGTAGATAAAATTTGTATATAATTGTAAATAGTAAGGCAGA